GCTAAGGCACAGGGGGCCACGTACGACAGACTCACTGCTGACATTACTCCACTGCTTTTCTTGCTAGGAAAAAAGGTGGACTCATGGCTCAACTGACTTCCAGAAAACAGAAATTGCCGTCAGCCCCCGGCACTGACTGAAGTATCTCAAATGAAAATAATTTAAATTAAATTTGACTGTGTTTTCTAAGAGCTTTCTCAATTCACAGTGAAAAGCAACATCCATCAACCATGTGCCTCTGCTCAAGACCACAGACTAAGTCTAATTCACTTTTCCATTATGGAACCCTAGTCCCTTGGGTGCATGGAGAGAGGAGGTCATTTCTTAGGGCAATCATGGTGTCCATGCAGCCAAATGTCTGTCCCCAAGCTGTGGCCCAGGTCAGCTGGGCTTTAAGGATGTTGCAGCCTTCACCTCCATTTCACGTCTGCTGGTGACACGTGCCTCCAGATTTATTTTCTTTATAGTGACTCGGCCCACATTGTTCAAAGAAGATATTTACCAACCGCATCCCATTGGCTCAGCTCTTCAACAGTCCATGAAAGCCCTTTCAGGAGTTGTCATGTACATTTGTAAGTGCCTGGAAATCAATGCTATTTAGCCAGTGGTTGTGACCTTTCAGACACAAAGATGATTTCAAAATGGCATGAGAAAGATAACATTCAGTGATTCCAACACAAGTCAGAATTTCCAATACTACTTCAATTACCCTCTCTGGCAAAAAAAAAAAAAAAAAAAAAAAAAATGGAGAACAAAACCAAGCTTAATTTGCTTCCAAGTCAGCTCTCAAAGATAAATAAGTAGAGAGGCTGACCTGACTCACAAAAAGAGAATCGAATGCCCAGCTCTTACCCATTTGTCAAAGGTCACGGCAAGGTGATTCCAGCCTTCCTTGAAGACAAGACCCTCTGTGGGTTAGAAGAGAACCAAGACTTGAGATGAACACCCTGGCTCCCATCTTAATTCTGCCTCGTGATTCTGTGTGAAAATATCCTCTCTGTACCTCAATTTCCCCATCCATGGAATGGGATAGTAACACTAGAGTGGTTGTTAAATTTACCTCAGAGACTCAGAATACAGTTTTGAAACCTCTAAAGTTCTTCTTTTTTTTTTTTTTTAATTTTTTTCCAAAAGCAACATACATCTATTTTTTAAAACTTAGATCACAGAGATTAGCCAAAATAAGAAAGTAGAAATAACTTGAAATTCCAAATCACCAATTTTTCTTCTAGGCACACATGCCTTCTTATTTTATTCAGTTATTTATTTAGTTCTAAAACTGGATTATATCGAACACACTAGCTGGAACTTGCTTTGTCATGTTACACTGTATAGAGTATAGCTTTTAAAGTCATTACATATTTTTTCTATAACATAATTTATAATGAAATCCAGCAGTTGTGTGTTTTTAGCATAATTTATCCCTCCAATTATCAAGTATTGCACATTTATGTGGTTTTATCTCTTTTCTTTCTTTCCTCTCTTTTTCTCTTTCTTCTTTTACTTTTTGCCTCACTGTCCCTTCCACTCTCTCTCTCCTCCCTCCTTTCTGTCTCTATCTCTTTCTCTCTTTCTTGGCGTTTGTAAATGACACAGCTGGAGACTCTCCATCCCCCACTGTGGTAACAAGAAGAGCAGGTACCCTCAAAACAGGTGGTAGCCACGTAACTTAGGCTTGGCTGACCATACCCTTTCCTAGGATTTTGAAACTAGACTGAAAGAATGCAGAGAGAAGTGAAAGGGTTAGAATGCCTTCATTTCAGAAAAGGTGCTATCCAGCAGTTTGTGCTGCCAAGACCATTTGGATCTGCTTTCTGTCTATTTCAACTCCAGCTCCTCAGCATCCTCTCCTACTTCCCAGTGATCCTATGGGATGCTGCAAATCCCTCTGGTGAATTTCCATCTGGCCTAAGGTAGCCATTTCCTATTTCTGTTTATTATTTCAAAAAAAAATCTCTAGCAAATGCAAACAGGAAGCATCTGTACATTGTACAGTACTAATGTGACATTTTAACATTTTAAATTAATCAAAGGAATGACTTGCAGCCATTAAAATTAAGGATAAGTCTATAATTTTGGTTATGCTGGTATTTGGTTTATTTTTCTCTGTGAATGCCTGTTTGCCCCTGGAAATAGTAAACGTTGTTGCTTTTTTAGCTTGCCAAGTAAATTGATATTTGTTTAATCTGCTAATGAAATCTATTAGTGTCATGGCTGGAAACTGTTGGGAATAAGTTTCAGCTGAGACCCAGTTTTTATAGGCTATTTATGAACCCCAGAAAAGAAAGATTTACTATCATTTTTATGGAAATGCTCGCAGGACCATAACTATGGTAACACAGATGGCATAGTTGTAAAATGCATATGTATGTATGCAGAAAAAGAAGAACCGTTAGGTAAATGGATGTTAGAATCACCTGTGAGTGAGAGGAAGCTTGCTGTGGCATGGTTTCTGTTCATCCATATGGCCTAGCAGAGCAAGCGACAGGATGACTTTTCTTTGCAGTCTTTTGTCTGATATTTTTTTAAGAATCCATAGTTGGGCCAGGTACTGTGTCTAGTGTTACTCTCCCATTCCATGGATGGGGAAATTGAGGTACAGAGAGGATATTTTCATACAGAATCACAAGGCAGAATTAAGATGGGAGCCAGGGCGTTCATCCCAAAGTCTTGGTTCTCTTCTCCTAACCCACAGAGGGTCTTGTCTTCTAGGAAGGCTGGAATTACCTTGCCGTGACCTTTGACAAATGGGTAATCCCAGCACTTTGAGTGGCCAAGGCGGGTAGATCACTTGAGGTCAGGAATTTCAGAACCTGACCAACAACATGGTGAAACCTTGTCTCTACTAAAATACAAAAAAAAAAAAAAAAAAAAAAGTTGCCAGGTGTGGTGGCAAATGCTTGTAATCCCATCTACTCCGGAGGCGGAGGCAGGAGAATAGCTTCAACCCAGGAGGGGAAGTCTGCAGTGAGCCAAGATCATGCCACTGCACTCCAGCCTGGGCAATGGAGTGAGACTCTGTTTCAAAAAAAAAAAAAATCATAGTTGAATTCCTCATGGTTAGTCTGCCTAGCAGTACCCTTATCAAGGGTTCACTGTGAGGCAAACTCTCTTGAGAGCTGGCCTTCGGGGATCCACCGGGGATTAGCCAGGGGCTCCCAACTTAGAACCAAGTGCAGAACTGTGACACTCAGGACAGCTTAGGGCCCTCCTCCTAGCTCCAGGTCTTCCTTCCACTTCCTTTGGTAGTACCTAGTGCTGCAGAATAGAGCCCAGCCACCCTAAAAGTGCTTAAGAATCAGACGGGTTTGAAATTTAGAATCTGATAGAGCTAGTTTTGAATCCAGTTCAGCCACACTGACCTGACAAAGAATTTATCTAACCAGTTCCCTAGTATTGGACATCCTTTCTAAATACTTAGGTTCTTCACTCTTTCAAATTGTCATAAGGATTTAGGAGATAGTGAATATCTGGTATATAATGGTATGTGAAAACATATGTAATAATAGTATATAATAATATTGGTGGCCATTATTATTTTGTAATAATTGTATTTGCCGGTAAGATATTTTGGGGTTTAAGGAACCGCATAAGTGCTACGTAATGGTTTATTGAAAGAATACTTATGGGAATTAGAAAAATAGTAATCCTGGCCACGTGAGTGGTAATAAATATGGGGAAATTCAAGCAGTGGGACTAGGAGACCCACAGTCTATCTGGGCCTCAGGACATACATACAGCTGGATCATGACTCAGCACCCAAGGAAGTTGTGGGATGTGAGTGGCTGGAGCCCATAGCTCCCCACTCTAGGCTTTCCTGCTCACTTGACTCCCCTCTCTGTGCTTCTCATTAATTTGAATAGAAACTAAAATTTTGTTTTAAATATTATTTATTCTTTCACATGTAGAGCAGCTTTATTTTCATTTTTATTTATTTATTTATTTTTGAGATGGAATCTTGCTCTGTCATCCAGGCTGAAAAGCAGTGGCATGATCTCAGCTCACTGCAGCCATCCCCTCCCATGTTGAAGTGATTCTCCTGCCTTAGCCTTTCCAGTAGATGGGACTACACATGTGAACCACCACTCCTGGCTGATGTTTGTATTTTTAGTAAAGATGGGTTTCCCTATGAGTTCAGGAGACTCGAACTCCTGATCTCAAGTGATGCACCCGCCTCAGCCTCCCATAGTGCATGAGCCACTGTGCCCCGCCCAGAGCAGCTTTATTTTTTATGGCTTCATAGCATCTCATAATACGGGTATACTGTAACATATTTAACCACGTTTCACCTACCAATGGACTATTAGATAATGTGGTTATTACAAAAAATGTTACATGAAAATTTTCTCTTTTTTGGCAATTTCTCTTTTTTAAGACAGGGTCTCTGTCACTCAGGATGGAGTGCAGTGGCATGGTCTCAGCTCGCTGCAGCCTCTACCTCCCTAGGCCCAGGTAATCCTCCTAACTCAGCCTTTCAAGTAGCTGGGATTACAGTGCATGCCACTATGCCCAGCTAATTTTTGTATTTTTATAGAGACAGGGTTTCACCATGTTGCCCAGGCTGGTCTAGAACTCGTGGGCTCAAGTGATCCACCAGCCTTGGCCTCCCAAAGTCATGGGATTACAGGCTTGAGCCACCATGCCTGGCTGAAATGTTCTTGATTATCCTTGAACACATGCTCTTAAAAATGTATTTAGTTGATAAATAAAAATTGTAAATATTCTAAGGATACAACATGAGTTCATACATGCACACGCTGTGTACTGATTACCACAGTCTAAGTAGTTACCACATCCGCGCCACCCATAGTTACCATTTGAGCGTGCATGTAGTGAGGACACTTTAGATCTGCTCTTACCAATTTCAAGTAAATAATACTCGACTATATGTGGTTAACTATGATCATAATACTGTACATTAGCTCTCCAGAATCTACTCATCTTATAACTGAAAGTTTGTACCCTATATGCTTTTTTTTTTTTTTTGAGATGAAGTTTCGCTCTTGTTACCCAGGCTGGAGAGCAATGGCGCGATCTCGGCTCACCGCAACCTCCGCCTCCTGGGTTCAGGCAATTCTCCTGCCTCAGCCTCCTGAGCAGCTGGGATCATGTTGACCAGGATGGTCTCGATCTCTTGACCTCGTGATCCACTCGCCTCGGCCTCCCAAAGTGCTGGGTTTACAGGTTTGAGCCACCGCCTGTATGCTTATTAAACAGAAAAAAATGTTTCTTGTTCTTCCCCTTCTAATGGGTAGCTCCCTCACCCTCTCTTCTGCATTCTCTCTCTGTGTCTCATAGCTTTTTTCTGCTGCACATTTTCAGCTTTCAAATGCGTCAGCTTCTTCCTGACTCCAGCTCATGCAATGCCTCTCGGCTGCTCTTGGGACGTCTTTTCAGTTCCTGCTGACTTTTCTGCCATTAGCAGTGCAGAGTTCATGTATATCAGAGCCTAGCTCCTTTCATTGGCCAGGGGTCTTGGATAAGGTGGGGGTTCCTCCCACGCTGAAAGTCCCCTTCTTCCACACCCCTTCGGACTCCATGGTTGGACCCCCTTCCACGAACACTCCCTTCATGGAAGCCTGTCTTCCCCTCCCAAACTCCATCTCTATTCCCTTACACTCAGTGTGGAAGCTGCTTTCCTCTCCTGGATTCCCATCTTTCTGGATTCTCTCACTCAGCGTGAGAGTTAGCTGTTTCTCTCTTTCTCTGAATAAATCACTTTACACAAGCACTTCGGAGTCCGGCATTTACTGCGCACTATGCTGTGGTCCCCTCTTTCATTCTTGAGAGGGCAGGAGGCCAAGAACCTAGAGAAACATCCTCTCAGGGGAGCTGAGGGCACCCTGAACCCCAATATTACATTCTGGCGAGTCAGCCAGGAAAGGGGTACACCAGAAAGGGGGGTACATTCAGGAAATGGGCACACCAGAAGGGGGTACAGCCAGAGAAGACTTCAAAATCGTGAGTAAACCCAGCCCCATTCTGTCCTGTCTCTTTAAGAACACCTGAAGCGGCCGCAGCCAGGCAGGGCTGTGGGGAACCGGAGCAGCTGCGGCCCAGCCTGTCTTAAGTGGCTCGGGCCAGGGGCAATTAAAAGCGGAGTGTTTTTTTTTTTTTTTTACCTCCATGCTCTCTGCTTTCCCTCTCCTTCTCTAGCCTTTGGATATTATCTCTGGGACCAGAACCTGCGGGAGCCTGTGGGGCGGAGCCTGCGAGCACTGCCCCCAGCGCCGTTTGCTCCTTGCTGGCCTGCGGGAACAACCTCGCTCCGGGAGAGCGCAGCGCTCAGCGGAGAAAACAGCGGGAGAGGCCAGGTACAGCCCGAGCCTGCAGGGTACCGGGAGCACAGCGGCCTGGCACGTGGTTCTGGTAGGCCTCTTGGTGTTCCCCAGTCCCAGGCAGCGGTGTACAAAAAGGCTTCCCCAGGGCGGTCGCCTCCTGGCCGCGGGTCCTCGTGTGGGCAGCGGCTTGGGGAGTGGCCCAGGTGCGCACGTGGTTCTGGCGGGGTCAGCTTGGTGACCAAAAGCCGAGGAGTCAGGGTGTGGGGTGCGGGAGACTCATATCCTACCCAGCAGCAGCTGCGAAGCCTTTTAAACTGACTCGGCAGCAGCTTTTTTACTCCGCCTGCGCAGTTGAGGGATTGCAAGCAGCTAGTGGCCGGCAGCCCCGCCCGGCTTTCGGGCAGGCCACATTGCCTCAGGGTGCAGCACTCTCATTGAAAATACAGCTAATGAAACACCGCATATTCTCACTCATAGGTGGGTGATGAAAAATGAGAACACATGGACACAGAAAGGGGAGTACTAAACAGTGGGGTCTATTGGGGGGAAAAGGGGAGGGCCAGTGGGAGGGGGAGGTGGGGAGGGATAGCCTGGGGAGAAATGCCAAATGTGGGTGAAGGGGAGAAGAAAACAAAGCACACTGCCATGTGTGTACCTACGCAACTGTCTTGCATGCTCTGCTCATGTACCCCAAAACCTATAATCCAATAAAAAATTAAAAAAAAAAAAAAAAAAGAAAATACAGCTAAGGAAATTTCTACTTTCCATTGATGCAAGTGACCTGTTTGCACAGTTGTTTAAGGTGTAAGGCCTATAGCCACAAGGTTGCTGGTTCAAACCCCTGGTGGAGCTGGGGGTTTTGGGGTCTCGATTTTCGGAAATCTTGGGGAAATTCCGAAGCTGAAGGCTATGGGACTGTATTTGGTGTATAATTTGTCTTGCTTAGGATTGGCTTTCTCTACGGCAGAACTTTTCCATCTAGAAGATCATAGTTAAACCAGTTACACGGCCCAAATAGTCCATGGCAGGTCTCACAACCTTAAGAGCATTTTTCTGTAATGGACAATGGGTTGGGAGAGGAGGCCCAGGTCCTGAAGGGGCTGTTCTGGCCTCAGCCACGCCCAGCCTACCTTCTTCAAACTGTGTGCTCTAATGGCCCCACCCTAGAAGTTTGCACTCTGGGGCAGTTTTATAAATTGGCTTGTATAAATTGGACTTCTGCTGGGAAATATTGGTACCTGTATCCTGGGCCTCACTGGCCTCGTCAGGGCTCGTTGTTATGTGACTACCCAACCCAATAGCTCTTCTCGTTCCATGCCCCTATGGTAGTCACTGGAGGTCCTGCAGGCAGTGAGTGGTCTTATGATGCTGGTAGGTTGTGATTGGAATCCAGTACATGGGAGGCCCTCTGATAAGATGGATCACGCATCTTGGGCACACAAAATTTCAGGGTACTCACTGAAAGACATTTCATTTTAGTACCCATTTTACCTGGAGGACGTCTCACTTTCAAGCAACTGTAATTTCTTTCTTTCTTTTTTTAGACGGAGTTTTGCTCTTGTTACCCAGGCTGGAGTGCAATGGTGCGATCTCGGCTCACAGCAACCTCTGCCTCCTGGGTTCAGGCAATTCTCCTGCCTCAGCCTCCTGAGTAGCTGGGATTACAGGCACATGCCACCATGGCCAGCTAAGTTTTTGTATTTTCAGTAAAGACAGGGTTTCACCATGTTGGCCAGGATGGTCTCGATCTCTTGACCTCGTGATCCACCTGCCTTGGACTCCCAAAGTGATGTGATTACAGGCTTGAGCCACTGCGCCCGGCCCGGCTGTAATTTCTTTAACCGGGAATGCAGGCATACCTTGTGTTCTATTTCAGATGGGTGCTTCTATTCCCAAGCTCAAATCCCCATTAAAGTGTATAATGGAAAATTGGGACGAATTTGACACACGATCTTTAAGGAAGAAGTGGCTTATTTTTCTCTGCCAAATAGCGTGGCGAAATTACCCTCTACCAAATGGAAAACCTAGCCCCAAATGGAAGGGAAGAAAACCCAACAGCTTTCCTTGAGCGATTGTGGGTTCTTTTAGTTTTTATAGTAAAGCAGTTTTGATTACAATTTCTAAAATGGCAGCATTATGTACTAAGCTGTGGCCATGAATAGTGCTGATTTTCCACAGCTATGTTCATTATAAATTCGCTGACATAAAAAGTGCCATAGTGATGAACTCGTGTGTCCTGAGCTCTGAAATCATGAAAATTTAATGGCTGCACTTTCATTGCCCTGAGTCGTGGTTCCATTGTTGCTGTTAGTTCCTGTTTAACATGCTTGAAGCATACAACCAAGCAAGCTGATTCTTCCACAGCTTGTCTTTCACTGGATTCAGTACTGGGACCGGGGCTTTGCTGTTTTCTGCATCTACTCTGCAGACCAGGCTGTGAGTTTTCCTACAAGGCTAAGAGGCCGTCATGAGATGCTGGGAACACCAGCTCTATTTTATTCTGGGCCTGGAGAGGGTGATGAATTTGTTCTAAGATTCGAACTTTAGAACCACAGATCCAGAAAATCAATGCTTTGACTTCTTCCAAGATGATTCTGGGGACTGGGTCCAAAGAGAAGAGAGGCAAGAACAATTGGTCCTAAGACCACAAGAAAGTGTATAGAAAAGTTATATGTCAGACACGATGCTGTGTGTTTTCCCATGACGGCCTTGTTCAATTTCCACGGAATTTCTCTGTATATATTTATTACATTCATTTTTGTAGATGGGAAATTCAAGTACAAGGACATAAAGTAACTTCCCTGAGATCATACTGCTCATGAGCATAGAGCTGGGTCTCCAATTTCATCTTCTTCATCGCTTTGTCTTAGAGCATGTTTGAATATTTGAAGAAGTTGTTGGGTTCATCTATAGTCATATATTCTCTTTGAACTCAAATCACCACCCCCCCGACAACCAGTGTAGGAATTTGGGACAGATGCTCACTAAAGTTCCCTCCAACACTTGGATTTTGTGAGAGGCTCTTAAAGGGTGAGGCTGTGCCAAAATGTGCTGGGTCTTCTGTTTTTCTTTCTTATTATGGGATGAATTGACTCTGCAGAAATGAATATAATGAATATATACATAGGAATTCTATGAAAATTGAACAAGACCATTGTGAGGAAACCATGAGACACTTCTAAGATCACGAATTGTCTTTACAATGATTCCATTAGAAACCTCCTTGGGGGATCCACAGAGACCTCCAGCAGGCTGTTCCCAGCAAGGCCCACCTTAAGCTGGGTAGCTCTGGAGGGAGGTTTTCTACACTCTGTTTATCCCAGCCATGGTGTGTGGGTTCTTGGCTTACTTCCCCACACACAGATTCCATAGTAGACCTGTGGAAAACTTTCCAAACGAGCCAATGAGGGCTTGCCTTGGAGACATTTGAAACCTGGATGCTGGAGCTTAGTGGAGAACCACAGTAATCGTGCAGCCCACGCTTCTACAGGAGCCTTGCATGCCCCACATCACTTACCTGTTGACCTTCAATGGATCCACTGTGCCACAGCTCTTCCCAGAAATGGCACAAGGCTTTCTTTGCTTTTGGTCTCTGTTTTGACTTCCTGGCTTTCCCCTTGTCTGTAATCAGGGCTCTAGGTTTTGTTCTCTGCTTTTGACTTTCCTCTCTTGGATATTTGTTCTGAGTCATATTTCTGGCCACTTCCATTTAGGATCATGTTGTATAGAACATTCTACCTTTAGTCTGGTCACGTTTGACCCAGCCCACCCCCTCCTCCAAGGAGCCCATGGGATGAGAGTCTGATCTGGACCTTCCCTACCCTGAGTGAGATGAGTAAAGAAAAATGGGAAATAGAGACTGCTCTCCAGTTAGAAATGAGGTTTGCAGCACCATGGTGTTTATATCAAAGTAACTAAAAGAGAGGACTTTGGGAGACTGAGGGAGGTGGATCACGAGGTCAAGAGATCAAGACCATCTTGGTCAACATGGTGAAACCCCGTCTCTACTAAAAATACAAAAAATTAGCTGGGCATGGTGGCGCGTGCCTGTAAGCCCGGCTACTCAGGAGGCTGAGGCAGGAGAATTGCCTGAATCCAGGAGGCGGAGGTTGCGGTGACCCGAGATCGTGCCATTGCACTCCAGCCTGGGTAACAAGAGCGAAACTCCGTCTCAAAAAAAAAAAAAAAAAAAAGAAAGGACTTGAAATATTACCTGCTGAGCCAGGTGACTCATGCCTGTAATCTCAGCAGTTTGGGAGGCTGAGGCAGGAGGATTGCTTGAGTGCAGGAGTTTGAGACCAGCCTGGACAACATGGCAAAACCTTATCTCTACAAAAAAATACAAAATTTGCCAGGCATGGTGGTGAGTGCCTGTAGTCCCAGCAACTTGAAAGTCTGAGGTGAAGGAATCACTGGAGCCCAGGAGGTCGAGGCTGCCATGAGCCATAATTGCACCAGTGTACACCAGCCCGAGACCCTGTCTCAAAATAAATAAATAAATGAATCAATCAATAAATGGTACAACACATATAAATGATCAATACTCAAGGTGATAAATACCTTAACACCTTGACTTGATTAGGACACGCTTTACGCATGTAAAAAAAAAACCCTCATGTGTGCCCCATAATATGTAAAATATATATCTATAAAAGAAAAAATCTAAATGAAGTGGGAGGATAAATGTGGAGAACGTAAGATGCAAACTTCATTCCTGCTAAAATAGCAGAGCCCTTGGCATGTGGCCTACTTCTGCCATATATATATTTGGCCATTTTTTTTCCCACTGATACTGCCCAGAAGTAATGGTTTCCATTGCAATTTAACAAATTACTGCAAACTTAGTGACTTCAAACAACATAAATTCATTTTCTCAATTTCCATGGTTCAAGAGTATGTGTTGGCTTATTTCTCTACTCCCAGTTTGGTTGTGCTGCAGTCCAGGTGTTGGCCAGGGCCAGGATTCTTGTCTGAGGCTCAGGGGCCTCTTCCAAGCTCACTGATTGTTGGCAGAATTTATTTCCTTGTGGTTGTATGACTGACTATATCCTGTGTAACTGTATAGTTCCCTTCTTGCTAGATATCAAC